AAGTCCACAATCATTTGGGACCCGCAGGCTTAATATTAGCGATGGAGTGGCCCATATGAAGCAATTATCTGGACAGTTGTGCTATAGCTGAAGAAGAGAGGTTGGTTTCGACATGTCTGATTGGCTTGGAAGTAAAACACAAATAGAGAAAACATAGAGTTTTAAAGCTAGAAAGGATCTTTGCAGTAATTTGGTAGATGAAGAGACAGACTTGACCAAAGATAAACAATTTGCCCAGAGCTGGGATGAGGCAGAGCTCAGGAACACCGTGCATTGCTCATGTCATCTTGAAGCTTCATGATGCATTTGGTCCATGGGCTTTCTCAGGTTCAGCATTAAACGTGGTCTTTATCCCAGTGAACAAGAAGTGAATTAAGAACTGGTATAAAGGAAGGTTCTATTAGGAGCAGAACTGCCCAGGTAAAGGTAGAGGGCCAAGTGAGACCCGTGGGGTTTGGTAACATGAGGAATTTCATAGAAGAGGCGGAACTGTAATTGGGGAGTAGGAAAGAAGAGACTAGGGATAGTCATTATCTTCATTATTGTTATCAAGTGATTATATGGCATTTCATCTTCAAAACCTTTTGCAGACTTTAATTAAGTGTCAAGTGCAGTCATAATCTAAATTGCACAGATCGTCTGGAAAAGTAGGGTGTTGAAGTTTGGTGAAACGTGCAGGAAATGTTTAGAATTCTCTTATTCTGAAACATTGCTGGAATATGCTTTATTCTAAAGCAGTGGTCTCCCTTATATATTAATTAACAAATAGAAGCCTTGTTATGATGTCTTCCTAACCCAGCTGTTAACTCTCCTTACTTGTGGGTGAGGAAATGGACAAAATATGGGGAATGTAGTTCTTGCCTTGAAGAGTGCATGAAAGAAACACTTAGCGTTTGTGAGCTTCACTTTTAAATGCAGCATTTGAAAATGAATACATCCCAGTGTAATCGACAGTGGACGCTTTTTTCCCCCTTGAGACTCTCATGCGTACCTGTCCTATAAGAGCACATTTTGACGTTTTAAAAAATATTATGTTGATACAATGCTTGCACTGTTTTTATTCTTCAAAATGTAAATCTCTATGTCAAAATTAAAATATAGCAGGAGAGGAGCAAAAAAGCAGCATTGGTATATCCCACCCCTAAGGATAAATGACACAAGCCAGAATCATTACAGGGGACATCTTTTACTTAAATGTCTATTTCTTTATTCTCTCATGCACAGAACAGTTCATTCCTGCCTTTTAAGGATTGAGCATTATAATATTCTTGCTTTTAGGGCTAGGATTTTTCCTTTCCACATAGCACCTGTATTTTCTGGAGCAGTTCAGGGATGGAAGAAATGACACTTTCATTCTTGTAATGAGGCACCATTAACCAGAGGCCTTTTGTAAGGGTGTAATTTCAAACTTCATTACAGACTAAGGCAGCTACACAACCCATTACTTGGAGAAAATGTGCTTCTGTTGTGACTCTCCAATGAGCCTTACATTTTTAATGCACCTTGTTAGAATATTTATGAAATAGTATCACCAGTAGAGGGCATCTGTCTTTGAAACCTGTGAATATTAAGTGACAAGGTTTAACGGCCCTCACTTTAGACTTTTCCATTAGAAAAACAGAAGTTAAAGGTACATGCCATAATCTGAAATTCTTTCTGATTCAGTTTACATTGCTAGCAAGTTACCAGAACTTTGCTTGGTCATGTCTTAGGAATTTTATTATTTTATCATCAGAGTAAAGTCTGAGTATGAAGGTAACCAGCTGAAATCCACACTGGGAGAGAATGAGCATATACTAATTGTGCTTCCATTTAAATGTGTGTCCTCTGGGAACAGTATGTTTGCCATGCTGGTAGGCTTGACCTCTGAAAAATATTAAAAAATGCTGAGTTCCTGATTTAAAAAATTTAGCATTGTGAAATTTAGTCCTGCCCATGAACAGGGCATCAGATTAGCTCAGAATGGAAGCTATGGTCTAAAAGACCCCAGGGTTAGAAAGAGATCTGGGTTTTATTTTATTTTATTTTATTTTTTTAAAGATTTACTTATTTTTAGAGAGGGTGAGGGCCAGCTGGCGAGTGTGGTGGGAGGGGCAGAGGGAAAGAGAGTCTTGAGCAGACTCTGCACGAGTGCAGAGCCTGACGTGGGGCTCGATCTCACAACCCTGAGACCACCACCTGAGCTGAAACCAAGAGTTGGACGCTTGACCAACTGTGCCCCCCAGATGCCCTTGGAGACCTGGGTTTTCTGTGTCTTTCTGGGCAATTTGAGGCGTGGGTTCCTGTGGGAGGAGAGTAACTCCTGCCAGCCTGACCGCTTCCTGTTGGGTGTTTCTTCCTAACTCCGGGTCCCTCAGTCCTGGGAGTGTCCAGGTCTGCTCCCCAACCAGACTGGTGCGTGATGGTGTAGAGTGGCTCAAAGATGGTAGGTTCTGGTTGTGAAAATACATATACGTGTGCGTATGTATTACGCACATGGCATTTTCAAGCGCAAGTGTTTGTTTCAAAGAATGATTAATAATTATGACCTCAAGTAGTATACCTTCTCCTATTTTCCTTTAGATAATTCTAATATTAAGGTCCATAGCAGTGTATATTCAGTTTTAATGTCCTCTGTACATGCTGTGAGAGAGGGAACTATGTTCTTGAATCTGTGAAACATGCCTTCACTGCATCCTGTTAATTTTCACATAGCAGCCTATTCCTTCAATGAGGAAACACAGTTCAAAGGCTTGAGTGTGTTACAGATCATTTTTTTTTACCTAACACAATTTCTCTTTAGAGAGATTTAAATAGTTGCTTCTTCATAAGGTACTGGCCTTTTTAACTTGAATTTGCTTTACATTGTCTTTAATTTATCTGTAATGGACGCCTGGGTGGCTCGGTCGTTAAGCGTCTGCCTTCGGCTCAGGTCCTGGCTCCTTGCTCAGCGGGGAGCCTGCTTCTCCCTCTGCCTGCCGCTCCCCCTGCTGGTGCTCTCTCTCTCTCTCTCTCTCTCTGGCAGATATATAAATAAAATCTTAAAAAAAAAAGTTATAGGTAAAATGAATATTTGTTACTCATCTACTGATTTGCATTTATAAGCAAATCTAAATACCCACCCCACAGTCTATACTAAGTGCTGTTAACAGGGCAATCAAAAGGTATCTGTTTAGAGAGAGAAATGTCTCCAGACTTGTCCGTCTGTTCTTTTCATTTTGTTTTGAAATAGTAATGCTCATGTAGTTACAGTTTTGTGATGATGACCTTGCAGTTCCATGCTACTCTCTCACACCCTGGGAGTGTCAGTGTCTGGAATGAATACTCTGGAGCAGCTTCCTGAAGAACTTATATAAATTAAAAGTAAAATATTCAGGGGTGCCTAGGTGGCTCAGTTGGTTAAGCATCTGCCTTCGGCTCAGGTCATGATCCTGGGGTCCTGGGATCAAGTCCCACGTCACTTGTGCTCACTTGTGCGCGTGTGCGCTCTCTCTCTTTGTCAAGTAAATAAATAAATAAATAAAATCTTTAAAAAAATGTTAAATATTCAAATAACAGGTGTTTGATTTTTTTAAAAGATTTTATTTATTTATTAGAGAGAGAGCAAGAAAGCACAAGCAAGGGGAGTGGCAGAAAGCAGCTGAGCAGGGAGCCAGACTCGGGGCTCGATCCCAGGACCCCTGAATCATGACCTGAGCTGAAGGCAGACGTTTAACCGACTGAGCCACCCAGGTGTGCCTGGGTGTTTGATTTTTGCAAGGAATACTCAACGCCTTCACAGCATCATTGCAGCACATTCCAGACAGTATTGCTTTAACTAGATACTTCTTCCCCACCTCTCCCCTGCAGCACCTTACCCTTGTTATTAGAAAGACTTGATAACAGCAAAAGTCCAGAACTTCTGCAGTGTGGTCCATGGATGGGTATTGTTAGGTTCATACAGTATCTTAACATTCAGCATTGGTTGTCAATACTTAGAAACTGGAAGAGTTCACTTTAAAAGTCCAAATTTGTAGGTTATCTTTAGAAAATGAGAGGATTTGGAAACACTGTCCTGTGATCTCGTATGACAGCTGCCTGTGCCCCCCAGCACCCCCACGCTGGATTTCCCTTTTCCTTATTTACATTTCCTGCCGGGCCCCTGCTGGCATTGAGTCCTCACCCGTACTTCCTCTTCCCCATGTCAGCAGCCATCCTCAGAATGCTGTGGGCCTGCTCACCTGCTAATGCATGCCACCACTGTTAGCTTTCTGTACTTCTAGTTTTCTGTCTTAAAAATGGGAATTTGTGAGGGGGCGGTGCCTGGGTGGTGCAGTTAAGCATTCAACTCTTGAATTTGGCTCAGGTCATAATCTCGGGGTTGTGAGATTGGGTTCTGTGCTGAGCGTGGAGCCTGCATAGGATTCTCTCTCTCTCTCCCTCTCCTTCTCCTCCCCCCAGCCCCCTCCCTCTCTCTCTCTCTCTCTCAAAAAAAGGAGGGGGGGATTATATCTGGCACTTACTGTCCATGAAAACTTTGACAATTAGTGTGAATTTTTAAGAACATTTCAAGTAAAATTATTTATTGTTACTTTGATTAGTATGTTTTTTAAAAAAGATTTTGTTTCATTATTTAAGATCAGCCCTATAGCAGACACTGCTGTTTCTTGAGTCAAAACTTAAATATGCTTTAAATGAGTTTTTTGTTTGCCATGCCTATTTCTTAGAAGATTTTAAGCCAAAGATAGAAGCCTGAAACTAATATATACTTACATATTTATGTATAAATATTCTAACACACATATATATGTGTGTCTGTACACACTTATCTACTTACGGATATACTAATCCAGTTAATACATTCTTAGCTTTAAGTGATTTTAATAAAATTGCTTCTTAAATAACTTTAAGTTTCTTAATATAAACTTTACAATAATTTATTTGATAACTTCTTAACTTTTAAAAGCACGTTTAGGATGAACCGAAAAATAGAGCATCACATGTGTGAATGTTAACTTGAGATGAATGGTCTTTCCTTTCAGAATACGGCAGGAGAATGATATGGTTGATTCAGCGCCTCAGTGGGAAGCTGTATTAAGGAGACAAAAGGAAAAAAATCAGGCAGACCCCAACAACAGACGATCCAGACATAGATCTCGCTCGTATGTGGACTCTTTTTATACCTTTATTCAAAAAGCACTGAGCTTGAAGTAGCATGCAGATTCTAGGGCAGATGGAGCTGTCTCTTTGAGGTCTTCTAAAGTGATTTTAGTTCCAACACAATTATCCCATTGTTTGTTTGTCATATTTCCCTTCTTATGTTTGTGACATTCATTAACTCTATCGGAAGCCATAGAAGTTGGAGCATTGCCAAAACAAAATGTTGAAAACAAGGCTATCAAGACTCTGTTTTGTTTTGTTTTGTTTTTAAACAAAGCATACATTCAACCAGGTAAGTAGGAACAGTCTTTGTTCTGGAGCCTGGCTGTTGGCAAAAATACCTGCTGCTTCTCTCAATTTGAGTCTGCAGAATTCTCTGAAGTCTTGTTCGAGATTGAACCAGATGTGAATATCTTCCTATTAAATTACCATTTGTGAGCAGTAGGTAGTGAGTGATTCATTACACCCCAATGCTGGGATTTGCCTGTGCCTTCTGTTGCTAGGCAATGCCATGTGTGAGCACAATTACCCCGTAATGATGAGATTGCCAGTCCCCCAAATTAGTTTTCTTTTGAGCTGATAAAATTTCTAGGTTTTTTTTTTTAATGTGTGCATCATTCAGATTTAGATAGCCCCATCTCCACACCCCTTCCCAAAGCATACCTTTTAAGTGTGAGCTGCGACTAACTATCCATCCCTTTGTGATCCTAGGTGGTTAGATGTCTGGTGTTGCTTATTTGTGGAAGGAGGGATTAGTGTCTCAGATAGGGTGGTGGAAGGATGGCACGGAGTGGATACAGAGACAAACTGTAGGTAGGTGGAGGGGGTGGATCCAGGGAGCCAGGCAACAGGGTGTTCTGGTTAACAGAGGCTAGGAGAGAACTCGGAGGATACACCCCAGAACCCCGTGTGTGGCTCTAAGGGATGCTTTTCAGTCTTGGATGCTTACTTTTTAATTAGAAGTTATCCTAGAGTGTGGTTTTGTTTTTATCGGTGGTACATCGTAATGAGTGATGTCTGTTTCTTTTCTAATAGAAAATTCTTAAGTAGTGACTATGCTGTGTACCAGACCCTTAAAGATTTATTTGTTGCTCCATAATGTTTTTGTTCTGGAACCTAATTAAAATATACAATTTAAAGCAGAAGTTAATAAATTTTCCTTTGTCTTGACTACTACCTTCCCCCAGCTCCATTATAAAAGAGAGGTTTAGAACTGGAAGAATCAAGACCTTATGGTTGACAGTTTAACCAAAAGGCACAGAATCCCAAGATCAGGATGCAGCATAGTCATGGGTAGATCTTTTGCAACCATGCTTTTACCTTTCCACGTGGAATCTTCTTTCTCAGGGACTTGTAATACACAAGGTTTGGTGACTTGGCATTAAATCTTAAAAAAAGCATTTAGGGGCGTCTGGATGGCTCAGTTGGTTAAGCGTCTGCCTTCAGCTCAGGTCATGGTACCAGGGTCCTGGGATCGAGTCCGGTGTGGGGCTCCCTGCTCAGTGCAGAGCCTGCTTCTCCCTCTCCCTCTGCCATTCCTTCTGCTTGTGCTCTCTGGCTCTATCTCTCTGTCAAATAAAAAAAAAAAAAAGGTTTAAAAACAGCATTTAGTTTTTCTCATAATTTCTAAATTTCTAAATTTCATTCTAAATTCAATTAAATGCCAATAGTAAATTTCATTTATTAAAAAGGGAAAAGTAAAATAAAATTGGGAAAAGTTTTCTATATAAATTTTGAAGAAGTCAAAAAACATTACTGGAGGCAATATTTAAAATTTTTGAGTAATAGTCCATTGTATGATTATACCACAATTTGTTTATCCATTCTCCTCTTGATGGGCATATGGGTTGTTTCCACTTTTTGCTATTGTGTTAAAAGTTTCTATACACATTCTATACAAGTATATCTGTGGAGTATGTTATCTTATGCCCTGGGATCAATACCTGAGTGGAATTGCTGGGTTAGAGGATATTTCTAACCATATTAAATGTAATAATAAACTGCCAAAATGATTTCTGAGAAGGCTGTATCATTTTATGCCCCCACTAGAGGTTCTAATTCTGCCCCATTCCTGTAAATACTTAGTTCTGTCTTATTAATTTTAGCTATTCGGTTTGGCTTGAAGTGATATCCCATTATGGTTTCAATTAACATTTCCCTGATGACTAATGATGTTAACCACATTTTCCTGTGCTTTTTCGCTATTCATGTATCTTCCTTTTTAAAGTGTTTAACTTTTTGCCCATTTTTATTGGATTGTTTCTTTTTTATTACTTATTTGTAGGGTTCTTTATGTAGTCTGGATATAAGTTCTTTTTCAGATATGTATATGATGTATATTTTCTTCCTAGCTGTGGTTTGCTTTTTCATGTTCTTAACATTGTTTTTTGATAAACAGATATTTTAAATTTTGATGAAGACCAGGATATCATTTTGTTTTCATTTATAGTTAAGACTTTTTTACATCCTAAGGAATATTTGCCTACTCCAAAGTCACAAAGATGTTCTCATACCTTTTTCTAGCAGGTTTATAGATTTTGCTTTTTATTTAGGTCTGTCATCCCTCTAGAATTAATTGTTCAATATGTATGAGGTAGAGGTAGATATTGAGAAGTTTTTTTCCAGGTGCTTATGCAGTATTCCAGGTCCATGTGTTAAAAAGACTATCTTCATTGAAATGCCTTGTGACCTCTGTTGAAATTCAGTTAACTGCTTATATGTGGGCCAATTATATTTCATTGATCTATTTGTCTGTTCGTAAGCCACCATGTTGTCTTGGTTACTGTAGCTTTATAGTAAGACTTGAATCAGGTAGTATAAATTCTCCAATGTTGTTTTTTTTTATTTTCAAGATTGCTTTAGCTATTTTAGGTCTTCTGCATTTCTACATGAATTTTTGAATCAGCTTGTTAGATTTACCCCCCCCCCCCCAAAAAGACTTTAGGCTTATGTTGAATCTATAGCTCAATTTGGAGAAAATTCTTAACCATTTATTTAAGCCTCTTAACATCTTTCAGCAATGTTTCTTGGATTGCAGTATGGAGTTATTGCATTTATTTTGTTACATTTAATCCTAAATGTTTAATATTTTTAATGGTACTGAACTACACTTTAAAAATGCTATTTTCCAATTGTTGGTTAGTAGATAGAAACACAAATTATTTTTTTTTATTTTATTATGTTATGTTAATCACCATACATTACATCATTAGTTTTTGATGTAGTGTTCCATGACTCATTGTTTGCATATAACACCCAGTGCTCCATTCAGTATGTGCCCTCTTTAGTATCCATCACCAGGCTAACCCATCCCCCCATGCCCCTCCCTTCTAGAACCCTCAGTTTGTTTCTCAGAGTCCATAGTCTCTCATGGTTCATCTCCCCCTCTGATTCCCCCCTTCATTTCTCCCTTCCTACTATCTTTTTTTTTTTTTTTAACATATAATGTATTATTTGTTTCAGAGGTACAAGTCTGTGATTCAACAGTCTTACACAATTCACAGCGCTCACCATAGCACATACCCTCCCCAGTGTCTGTCATCCAGCCACTCCATCCCTCCCACCCCCCAGCACTCCAGCAACCCTCAGTTTGTTTCCTGAGATTAAGAATTCCTCATATCAGTGAGATCATATGATACGTGTCTTTCTCTGAACAAATTATTTTTATATTAATATTGTATCTTGCCACTCTGCAACCTTTATGTTAAATTGATTTCATATCTCTGGAAGCTTTTTAAAAAAATTTCTTAGGATTTTTCACATTTATAATCCTATTGTTTGTGACCAGAGACCACTTTCCTTTATTTCTAATCTTTTTTCTTTTTATTTCTATTTTTTCCCTTTATACGCTGGCTATATCTTCCAGTACAGTGTTGAATTACAATGTTGAATAGAAGTAGTAAGAACAGAGACCTCCTTAGCTTGTTCTCTTTCTTAGGGGGAAAACATTCAGTATGTCATATTAAGTATGATGCTAGCTGTAAGATTGAGGAAGATCATTCTGTTTCTAGTGTAAGAGTTTTTATCGTGAATGAGTTTGAATTTTGTTATAAGCTTTTTCTGCATCTGAGATGACTTCTTTATTCTGTTAGTGGGAGAATTACAGTGATTCAGTTTTGAATGATACATCCTTGCATTCCTGAGATAAACCCTCAGGGTCCTGATGTATTATCCCTTCTATATATTGCTGGATTCTATTTGATATTATTTTGTTAAGAAATACTGGTCTGTAATTTTCTTGTATCTTTGTCAGGTTTTTGGTAACAGGTTTTTACTGGTCATTTAAAATAATTTGACAAGTGTTCATCTTTTCTCCATATTCTGAAATAGTTAATGTAAAAAATTAGCATTATTCCTTCCTTAAATATTTGATATAATTCACCAGTAAAACCATCTCTGCCTGGAATTTTCTTTATGGAAAGTTTCAAATTACAATCTCAGTTTCTTGAACAGATATTGATTGATTGGGCCATTCTGATTTTTACTTGTTACGTGTAGGTTTAAGTATTCTTTAAAAAGAATTTGTTCATTTTATCTAAATTATCAAATCTTTTAGCAAAAATTTTTCATAATAATTCTTTAGTATCTTTTTAACATCTGTTGTGATACCACCTCTTTTATTCCTGATGTTGATAATTTGTGTTTTCTCTTTATTTTTCCCTTAATCTATCTTTTCAGAGAACTAACTTGGGTTTGTTGATTTTCTTTGCTGTCTATTTCATTGATTTCCACTCTTTATTACTTCCCAATATTCATTTTGTCTTTTATTTGTTCTTTTTTCATCTTCTTAAGGTCACACTCATAAACCTTTCTCCCTTTTAAATATAAGTATAAAGTTGTAAATTTCCCCCAAGCCCTATAGTTTTAACTGTATCTCACATATTTTGATGTGTTTTTATTATCATGTAGTTCAAAATCATTTTTAATTTCTTGTGATTTCTTTGACCCTAGACTTTTTTTTAGTAGTGTGTTGATTAATTTCCAAATATTACAGGATTTTCTA